GCAGAGACGTGTCAGCCAAGACAGTCCTACAACATCCAGAGACTTTAGATAGTCAGGACGGATCTCATCCACTCCCGGCGCCTTGCCACCATGGAGGCTGCCAACCACCTTTGTGACCTCTGCCAGGGAGATGGAAGTGTCCGCCCCAACATCCTCAGCCTCTGCCTCCTGAACGGAGGACGTGACGGGGGGATTGAGGAGAACCTCGAAGTATTCCTTCCACCGCCCAACAATATCCTCAGTCGAGGTCAGCAGCCCTCCACCCGCACCATACACGGTGTTGGCAAAGAACTGCTTCCCCCTCCTGAGGCGCCGGACGGTTTGCCAGAACCTCTTCGAGGCCGACCGATAGTCATGCTCCATGGACTCTCCGAACTCCTCCCAGTCCCGGGTTTTTGCCTCTGCAACAGCCCGGGCCGCGGCACGTTTGGCCTGCCGGTACTGGACAGCTGCCTCAGGAGTCCCACGAACCATCATTGCTCGATAGGACTCCTTCTTCAGCCTGACGGCATCCCTTACTGCCGGTGTCCACCACCGGGTTCGGGGATTGCCGCCGGGACCAGCACCAGAGACCTTGCGACCACAGCTACGAGCCGCCGCATTGGCGATAGAGGAAGAGAACATGGTCCACTCGGACTCGATGTCCCCCTCCTCCGCCGGGACCTGGGAGAAGCTCTCCCGGAGGTGTGAGTTGAAAGTCCGTCTGACAGGGGGCTCCGCGAGACGTTCCCAGCAAACCCTCACTATACGCTTGGGTCTGCCAGGTCTGACCGGCTTCTTCCCCTGCCAGCGGATCCAACTCACGACCAGGTGATGATCGGTTGACAGCTCCGCCCCTCTCTTTACCCGAGTGTCCGAGACACGCGGTCGAAGGTCAGATGATACGACAACAAAGTCGATCATCGACCTCCGGCCTAGGGTGTCCTGGTGCCACGTGCACTGGTGGATACCCTTGTGCTCGAACATGGTGTTCGTGATGGACAGGCCGTGACTGGCACAGAAGTCCAACAACTGAACACCACTCGGGTTCAGATCAGGGGGGCCGCTCTTCCCGATCACCCCTCTCCAAGTGTCACTGGCATTTCCCACATGGGCGTTGAAGTCCCCCAGGAGAATAACGGAGTCCCCGGGCGGTGCACTGTCCAGTACCCCTCCCAAGGACTCCAAGAAGGCCGGGTACTCTGCACTACCGTTAGGCCCGTAGGCCGTCACAACAGTGAGAGACTTGTCCCCCACCCGGAGGCGGAGGGACGCGACCCTCTCATTCACCGGGGAGAACTCCAACACGTGGCGGCTGAGATGGGGGGCAATGAGTATGGCCACCCCAGCTCGCCGCCTCTCCCCGCGGGAAACACCAGAAAAGTGGAGCGTCCAACCCCTCTCAAGGAGTTGGGTTCCAGAGTCCAAGCTGTGTGTGGAGGTGAGGCCGACTATCTCTAGTCGGTATCGCTCAACCTCCCCCACAAGCTCGGGCTCCTTCCCCCCCAGTGAGGTGACGTTCCACGTCCCAACAGCCAGATGTTGGGTGTGTGGACTGGGTCGTCGAGGTCTCCGCCTTCACCGCTGCCCAGTCCTCGCTGCACCACGCCACCACGGACCCCTCTGCAGGTGGTGGGCCCACAGGAGGGACTGCCCACGTCATCCCTTCGGGCTGAGCCCGGCCGGGCCCCGTGGGCTAAGGCCCGGCCACCAGGCGCTCGCTTGCGAGCCCCGACCCCAGGCCTGGCTCCAGGGTGGGGCCCCGGCTGCGCCATGCCGGGCGACGTCACGGTTTTTGTTGTCGTGCTGTCCATGGTTGGCTTCGGACTGCGCTTCGTCTGACTCGTCACTTGAGACCTGTCTGCCATGGGAGGCCCTACCAGGGGCATGAAGCCCCAGACAGCATAGCTCCCAGGATCATCCGAGTGCTCAAACTCCCCCACCACGTTAAGGTGGCAGTCCAAGGGGGAGCACTCTGAACCAGAACAGAGAAAATGGTCCATCTATCTATGTGTGTGTGTGTCTTTGTGTGGGTGTGTGTGTGTTTGTGTGGGTGTGTGTGTGTGTCTTTGTGTGTGTGTGTGTGTGTGTGTGTGTCTTTGTGTGTATTGTATTTTTATTGCAACACATCTTTTGTTTGTTTACAGCCTTGTGTGTGTTTGTGTAACAGTAACATATGAATAATAACGACCACAGAGAGAACACTTGGTCTCCACTTGGTTTCCACTGGTCTCCACTTGGTCTCCACTTGGTTTCCACTGGTCTCCACTTGGTCTCCACTTGGTCTCCACTTGGTTTCCACTGGTCTCCACTTGGTCTCCACCTGGTCTCCACTGGGTCTCCACTTGGTTTCCACTGGTCTCCACTGGGTCTCCACTTGGTCTCCACTTGGTCTCCACTTGGTCTCCACTTGGTCTCCACTTGGTCTCCAGTTGGTCTCCACTTGGTTTCCACTTGGTTTCCACTTGGTCTCCACTTGGGTCTCCACTTGGGTCTCCACTTAGTTTCCACTGGTCTCCACTTGGTTTCCACTGGTCTCCACTTGGTCTCCACTTGGTTTCCACTGGTCTCCACTTGGTCTCCACTTGGTTTCCACTGGTCTCCACTTGGTCTCCACTTGGTTTCCACTTGGTTTCAGTCCTGGATCTACAGCCTCAGTCCTGGGTCTACAGCCTCAGTCTTTAGTTGTAGTGATAACTCCAGACCACATCACTGAGAACACGTCTCTGTTTTTTCGAGGAGAGAAACAAAACTGAGGTCCTGTTTCCATGGAGACGCTGCGACAGAGAGACCATAGATTGATCGGATCAACACGGCAGGGGTCCCTCCATGTGACATCCACAGTAGAATAAACATAAACAAAATGGCGGCGGGTCGAGGCTTTGTCCTAACCACAGCTGTCGTTTGTCGCTGCTGTTCTCGACAGCAGTGGACCTTATAAAGATCCACTGCCCCCTACTGGCCTCACGCTAGAACTACATTGTTTTCAGTCGCTGTCTGAATAGAGTCGGAACCTGTGGAACCTGTGGAACCTGTGGAGCCTGTGGAACCTGTGGAACCTGTGGAACCTGTGGAACCTGTGGAGCCTGTGGAGCCTGTGGAACCTGTGGAACCTGTGGAACCTGTGGAGCCTGTGGAGCACAGCTTCTCTGCTGCTACAGGTGTCGATTGTCTCTGACTTACTTTTGGCGAATCCATCGTGTGGATAAATGTGGCGGTTATACATGTCCATGATGAAGACACGCTGGTCGTCCAGGAAGTCCCGCTCATGTCCGTTCCCCTGAAACATAACAGTTCAATCAGCACATATATAGTAAACAGTGGGCTAAAAAGTATTTAGTCAAGATTGTCAAGTTCTCCCACTTAAACTAATGACAGAGGTCTGTAATGTTCATCATAGGTTCACTTCAACTGTGAGAGACAGAATGTGAAAAAAACATCCAGGAATTCACATTGTAGGATTTTTAAAGAATTTATTTGTAAATGATGGTGGAAAATAAGTATTTGGTCAATAACAGAAATTCAACTCAATACTTTGTAATATAACCTTTGTTGGCAATAACAGGTCAAACGATTACTATAGGTCTTTACCAGGTTTACACACACAGTAGCTGGTATTTTCGCCCATTCCTCCATGTTTCGGGGCTGTCACCGAGCAACACGGACCCCTCCCTCCACAGATGTTCAATGGGGTTGAGGTCTGGAGACTGGCTCGGCCACTCCAGGACTTTCAAATGCTTCTTACGGAGCCACTCCTTCGTTGCCCGGGCGGTGTGTTTGGGATCATTGTCATGCTGGAAGACCCAGCCACGTTTCATCTTCAAAGCTCTCACTGATGGAAGGAGGTTTGGCTCAAATTCTCACGATACATGGCCCCATTCATTCTTTCCTTAACACGGATTAGTCGTCCTGTCCCCTGAGCAGAAAAACAGCCCCAAAGCATGACGTTTCCACCCCCATGCTTCACAGTAGGTATGGTGTTCTTGGGATGCAACTCAGTATTCTTCTTCTATGGTTACAGTTACAGCTATACAGTTGTACTTTGGTTTCATCTGACCACGTGACATTCTCCCAATCCTCTGCTGTATCATCCATGTGCTCTCTGGCAAACTTCAGACGGGCCTGGACATGCACTGGCTTCAGCAGGGGCACACGTCTGGCACTGCAGGGTTTGATTCCCTGTCGTCGTAGTGTGTTACTGATGGTAACCTTTGTTACTTTGGTCCCAGCTCTCTGCAGGTCATTCACCAGGTCCCCCCGTGTGGTTCTGGGATATTTGATCACCGTTCTCATGATCATTTTGGATCATTTTGACCCCATGGGATGAGATCTTGCGTGGAGCCCCAGATCGAGGGAGATTATCAGTGGTCTTGTATGTCTTCCATTTTCTGATAATTGCTCCCACAGTTGATTTGTTCACACCAAGCTGCTTGCCTGTTGTAGATTCACTCTTCCCAGTCTGGTGCAGGTCTACAATTCTTTTCCTGGTGTCCTTCCACAGCTCTTTGGTCTTGGCCATAGTGGAGTTTGGAGTCTGACTGTTTGAGGCTGTGGACAGGTGTCTTTTATACAGATGAGTTCAAACACAAAGAATAAACAGAGAAGCAGTTCAGGAAAGTGACGGGTCTTTAGTCTGTGCAGAGATATATACTGACTATATATATATGTATACATACAGTATATATAATATATACTGACTATATAATATATAGTATATATAAATAATATATACTTTGTACTATATATTGTACTGGAAAGTCTCTCTCTGGTCTCTCTCTCTGGTCTCTCTCTCTGGTCTCTCTCTGGTCTCTCTCTCTGGTCTCTCTCTGGTCTCTCTTTGGTCCCTCTCTGGTCTCTCTCTGGTCTCTCTCTGGTCTCTCTCTGGTCTCTGTCTGGTCTCTCTCTGGTCCCTCTCTGGTCTCTCTCTGGTCTCTCTCTGGTCTCTCTCTCTGATCTCTCTGGTCTCTCTCTGGGCTCTCTCTGGTCTCTCTCTGGTCTCTCTCTGGTCTCTCTCTGGTCTCTCTCTGGTCTCTCTCTGGTCTCTCTCTGGTCTCTCTCTGGTCTCTCTCTGGTCTCTGTCTGGTCTCTCTTTGGTCCCTCTTTGGTCCCTCTCTGGTCTCTCTCTGGTCTCTCTCTGGTCCTCTCTGGTCTCTCTCTGATCTCTCTAGTCTCTCTCTGGTCTCTCTCTCTGGTCTCTCTCTAGTCTCTCTCTGGTCTCTCTCTGGTCTCTCTCTGGTCTCTCTCTGGTCTCTCTCTGGTCTCTCTCTGGTCTCTCTCTGGTCTCTCTCTCTGGTCTCTCTCTGGTCTCTCTCTGATCTCTCTAGTCTCTCTCTGGTCTCTCTCTCTGGTCTCTCTCTCTGGTCTCTCTCTGGTCTCTCTCTGGTCTCTCTCTGGTCTCTCTCTGGTCTCTCTCTGGTCTCTCTCTGGTCTCTCTCTGGTCTCTCTCTGGTCTCTCTCTGGTCTCTCTCTGGTCTCTCTCTGGTCTCTCTCTGGTCTCTCTCTGGTCTCTCTCTGATCTCTCTAGTCTCTCTCTGGTCTCTCTCTCTGGTCTCTCTCTGGTCTCTCTCTGGTCTCTCTCTGGTCTCTCTCTGGTCTCTCTCTGGTCTCTCTCTGGTCTCTCTCTGGTCTCTCTCTGGTCTCTCTCTGGTCTCTCTCTGGTCTCTCTCTGGTCTCTCTCTGGTCTCTCTCTGGTCTCTGTCTGGTCTCTCTCTGGTCTCTCTCTGGTCTCTCTCTGGTCTCTCTCTGGTCTCTCTCTGGTCTCTCTCTGGTCTCTCTCTGGTCTCTCTCTGGTCTCTAACTGGTCTCTCTCTGGTCTCTCTCTGGTCTCTCTCTGGTCTCTCTCTGGTCTCTCTCTGGTCTCTCTCTGGTCTCTCTCTGGTCTCTCTCTGGTCTCTCTCTGGTCTCTAACTGGTCTCTCTCTGGTCTCTAACTGGTCTCTCTCTGGTCTCTAACTGGTCTCTCTCTGGTCTCACCTGATGAGCGTCCAGGTCGATGATGGTCGCTCTGCAGATTCCTTCAACTCTTTCAAACAGGAACTGAGGAAGACATTGACAAAACATCAACAAACCAAACTGATATCTATTTCTTGGTCTCTCTCTTTGGTCTCTCTCTGGTCTCTCTCTGGTCTCTCTCTGGTCTCTCTCTGGTCTCTCTCTGGTCTCTCTCTGGCCTCTCTCTGGCCTCTCTCTGGTCTCTCTCTGGTCTCTCTCTGGTCTCTCTCTGGTCTCTCTCTGGTCTCTCTCTGGTCTCTCATAACATCTGTTTTAAAGTGAAGTCTATACATAAATATGACCTGAACCAGAGCCTCATCCTCTGTTTCCCAGCAACAAGCAGCAGAGACTGATGAGGCTCATTGTTCTGAGGACACACACCAACACACATCAACACACAACACACATAGACACACAACACACACAGACAAACAACACACATAGACACACAACACCACAGAAACACAATACACACAGACACACAACACACAACCTTGCCTTACCACTCTGGTCCATGATCATTTCCTACATGTACGTCTGGTCTTACCATGTGTAAACTCTGGTCCATGATCATCTCCTACATGTACGTCTGGTCTTACCATGTGTAAACTCTGGTCCATGGTCATCTCCTACATGTACGTCTGGTCTTACCATGTGTAAACTCTGGTCCATGGTCATCTCCTACATGTACGTCTGGTCTTACCATGTGTAAACTCTGGTCCATGGTCATCTCCTACATGTATGTCTGGTCTTACCATGTGTAAACTCTGGTCCATGATCATCTCCTACATGTACGTCTGGTCTTACCATGTGTAAACTCTGGTCCATGGTCATTTCCTACATGTACGTCTGGTCTTACCATGTGTAAACTCTGGTCCATGGTCATTTCCTACATGTACGTCTGGTCTTACCATGTGTAAACTCTGGTCCATGGTCATTTCCTACATGTACGTCTGGTCTTACCATGTGTAAACTCTGGTCCATGGTCATTTCCTACATGTACGTCTGGTCTTACCATGTGTAAACTCTGGTCCATGGTCATTTCCTACATGTACGTCTGGTCTTACCATGTGTAAACTCTGGTCCATGGTCATCTCCTACATGTACGTCTGGGTCTTACCATGTGTAAACTCTGGTCCATGGTCATTTCCTACATGTACGTCTGGTCTTACCATGTGTAAACTCTGGTCCATGATCATCTCCTACATGTACGTCTGGTCTTACCATGTGTAAACTCTGGTCCATGGTCATCTCCTACATGTACGTCTGGTCTTACCATGTGTAAACTCTGGTCCATGGTCATTTCCTACATGTACGTCTGGGTCTGGTCCTAGTGGCTGCAGTTTCCTCGGTTGAATCTCCTCCGACCAATCAGAGAGCGGGGGAGGCGGGTGTTGTAGGTCGGTGTCGGTGACGTCAAGAGTTTGTGCTGAAATTGTGGCTCTATTCTCCAAGGGCTCCTTTAGTGGCAAAAGAGATGGCTAAAGCTAGGCTAAATGCTATAGCTAGGCTAAATGCTATAGCTAGGCTAAATGCTAAATGCCTCACTCACTCCCACCTGTTAATGGAACTTAATGGAGCAAATCCAGACTTTGGTATGAAATGAAATGAGTACAATGGTATGGTAAGACCAGGGTAGGCTCTTGGTGATCTTTTCAGTGTTGCTTTGCCAGTTAGAGAACAGTAGGGTCTTTACCTTGAGGGTCAGTGTGATGTCAGCGTAGGCACAGAAGCCTCCTCCTCGGTCTCCAGAGCAGTGGTGGAATCCTCCTCCTGCAAACACAACACTCAGAGCTACACAAACTAAAGTATTTACACATTTTTACTTTTCAGATTTCAATTAAAGCTAAATATGTAAATCTGTCAGAACCAGTGTGGGCGGGTCCCGGCTCAAAATGTCCAATGATGTGCGCTGAAATTCTGTGCAATACCACCCCAGGCCTGTGGGGGTGGACCTGGAATAAGAATTAGCCAATGATAATGTATAGTATCTTCTTTCCTCTCAAAGACGTCTTTACAAAATGGTCCAAAAGTGGTTCTTGGTCCAAAAGTGGTTCTTGGTCCAAAAGTGGCTCTTGGTCCAAAAGTGGCTCTTGGTCCAAAAGTGGTTCTTGGTCCTAAAGTGGTTCTTGGTCCTAAAGTGGGTCTTGGTCCAAAAGTGGTTCTTGGTCCAAAAGTGGCTCTTGGTCCAAAAGTGGTTCTTGGTCCAAAAGTGGTTCTTAGTCCTCTTGGTTCCAGATGTTGTCTGAGGGGAGTAAGTGTTTTTGGACCAGTCTAGTTTAGTTGCTGTGGACTTTTGAATGCACTCGTTAAAAGAATGGGGCTCATGCAGCTAAAGCAATTTTTTTGTTTTTTCACATTTTCCCAGCGGCCATTTTGAAACTGCCATAGAAGTGATAGATAGTTTATAGAAAATAAAGTGATGTCACATTAGTTTGAACGACAGAAGTGACTACGTCTTTAGTATTGACAGTCTATGTCCAAGAGCATTGGCCTTTGAGCCAGAGGGTCGTGGGTTCGAGCCCGACTTTCACCATCGACTCCCACTGTCTGCCGTCGTTGTGTCCTTGGGCAAGACACTTAACCTCTGAACAGCAGGTGCCACAGTGGGGCGGCTGCGGCTGTAAAGTGCCAAACTGTGGTTGTGTCCTTAGGCAAGACACTTCCCCCACATTAGAATGAGTCTGGTGTGTGTGTGAATGGTTGGTGGTGGTGGGAGGGGCCGATGGCACAGACTGGTTGCCTCGTTTCTGTCAGTGTGCCCCAGGGCAGCTGTGGCTACAGGAGTTTATCACAGCTGTGTTTGGAGAGAGAAAATAATGACATGTAAAGAGTCTTTGAGAGTCTGAAAAGCGCTGTATGAAACCGATGCATTATTATTATTATTATTATTATTATTATTAACACTCAAACCACAGACGAAATGGAGCAGATTCATGTTTTCAGGGTTTGAAAGGTGTTCGTTGGCTCCTCTCCATCTGACGGAGACTGTGAAAAATCAGTTTAACCAGAATCGTGGTGTAATCATCGTTAGCAGCTGTTTCATTATATCTGTCATGTTTCAAAGGGAAAACAGGTGACAGCAGCAGGGAACCCATCAGGTGACAGCAGCAGGGAACCAATCAGGTGACAGCAGCAGGGAACCAATCAGGTGACAGCAGCAGGGAACCCATCAGGTGACAGCAGCAGGGAACCAATCAGCAGCCACCGTTCAGAAGGGGACATCTGTGAGATAAGTGTGTTCTGTGCGTGTTGTGTGTTTGTTCAGTGTGTTATAAGTGTGTTGTGTGTGCGTTCCAGAGAGAGACCGGAGAGAGTCCAGAGAGAGACCAGAGAGAGACCAGAGAGAGACCAGAGAGAGAGAGACCAGAGAGAGACCAGAGAGAGACCAGAGAGAGACCGGAGAGAGACCAGAGAGAGAGAGACCAGAGAGAGACCAGAGAGAGACCAGAGAGAGACCAGAGAGAGACCAGAGAGAGACCAGAGAGAGACCAGAGAGAGACCAGAGAGAGACCAGAGAGAGACCAGAGAGAGACCAGAGAGAGACCAGAGAGAGAGAGACCAGAGAGAGACCGGAGAGAGAACAGAGAGAGAGAGCAACGAGAGAGACCAGAGAGAGACCAGAGAGAGTCCAGAGAGAGAGCAACGAGAGAGACCGGAGAGAGAACAGAGAGAGAGAGCAACGAGAGAGACCAGAGATAGACCAGAGAGAGACCGGAGAGAGAAGAGAGAGACCAGAGAGAGTCCAGAGAGAGAGAGAAACGAGAGAGACCAGAGAGAGACCGGAGAGAGATGCCAGAGAGAGACCGGAGAGAGAGACCAGAGAGAGAGAGACCAGGGAGAGACCAGAGAGAGACCGGAGAGAGAACAGAGAGAGGCCAGAGAGTGACCAGAGAGAGACCAGAGAGAGACCAGAGAGAGACCAGAGAGAGAGACCAGTGAGAGACCAGAGAGAGACCGGAGAGAGAACAGAGAGAGAGAGACCAGAGAGAGAGAGACCAGAGAGGGACAAGAGAGAGAGACCAGAGAGAGAGACCAGAGAGAGACCAGAGAGAGACCAGAGAGAAAGAGACCTGAGAGAGACCAGAGAGAGACCAGAGAGAGCGACCAGAGAGAGACCAGAGAGAGAGACCAGAGACAGACCAGAGAGAGACCAGAGAGAGGACCAGAGAGTGACCAGAGAGAGACCAGAGAGAGACCAGAGAGAGACCAGAGAGAGAGACCAGAGAGAGACCAGAGAGAGACCAGAGAGAGACCAGAGAGAGAGGCCAGAGAGAGACCAGAGAGAGACCAGAGAGAGACCAGAGAGAGACCAGAGAGAGACCAGAGAGAGCGACCAGAGAGAGACCAGAGAGAGAGAGAGAGACCAGAGAGAGACCAGAGAGAGCGACCAGAGAGAGACCAGAGAGAGAGACCAGAGACAGACCAGAGAGAGACCAGAGAGAGGCCAGAGAGTGACCAGAGAGAGACCAGAGAGAGACCAGAGAGAGACCAGAGAGAGACCAGAGAGAGACCAGAGAGAGACTAGAGAGAGACCAGAGACCAGAGAGAGACCAGAGAGAGACCAGAGAGAGACCAGAGAGAGACCAGAGAGAGACCAGAGAGAGACCAGAGAGAGACCAGAGAGAGACTAGAGAGAGAGACTAGTACAAATTAAAAACACTTCAAAGTAATTGTAGTAGTGTCTAAGACGTACCTACGTTTATGGCCCATCCTCGTTCCACGGCCAGTTTTCCCGCCTGCAACACATCGAGCAACACTTCAAATGAAAAGTATCAAATCACAAACAACTTAAGAACCTTTAAACTCAAGCGCTGCTCTTGAGTCTATTCCCTTCATAACACTACCCACAGATACATGTCTATGGTTCTCCCCACGATGGTGCCTCTGGTCTGAGTACCTCTATAGTCTATACAGATACATGTCTATGGTTCTCCCCACGATGGTGCCTCTGGTCTGAGTACCTCTATAGTCTATACAGATACATGTCTATGGTTCTCCCCACGATGGTGCCTCTGGTCTGTGTTCATCTATAGTCTATACAGATACATGTTTATGGTTCTCCCCACGATGGTGCCTCTGGTCTGTGTTCATCTATAGTCTATACAGATACATGTCTATGGTTCTCACCATGATGGTTCCTCCGGTCTGAGTCCGCAGAGGCCTCAACACTCGCCGCTGCACCAGGAAGTTAGGCAGAAAAACCAGAGGTGGTATTTCTGTGATTGTTGCCACGACCAGAGACCACTGCAACAGACGCACATTCTTACATCACAGATACACACAACAGACACGTTCTCTACACAGATACACACAACAGACACATGCTCAGGTTCACCTCCTTCACTCTACACAGATACACACAACAGACACAGGCTCAGGTTCACCTCCTTCACTACACACAGATACACACAACAGACACATGCTCAGGTTCACCTCCTTCACTCTACACAGATACACACAACAGACACATGCTCAGGTTCACCTCCTTCACTACACACAGATACACACAACAGACACGTGCTCAGGTTCACCTCCTTCACTCTACACAGATACACACAACAGACACGTGCTCAGGTTCACCTCCTTCACTCTACACAGATACACACAACAGACACATGCTCAGGTTCACCTCCTTCACTCTACACAGATACACACAACAGACACATGCTCAGGTTCACCTCCTTCACTCTACACAGATACACACAACAGACACATGCTCAGGTTCACCTCCTTCACTCTACACAGATACACACAACAGACACGTGCTCAGGTTCACCTCCTTCACTCTACACAGATACACACAACAGACACAGGCTCAGGTTCACCTCCTTCACTCTACACAGATACACACAACAGACACGTTCTCTACACAGATACACACAACAGACACAGGCTCAGGTTCACCTCCTTCACTCTACACAGATACACACAACAGACACATGCTCAGGTTCACCTCCTTCACTCTACACAGATACACACAATAGACACATGCTCAGGTTCACCTCCTTCACTCTACACAGATACACACAACAGACACATGCTCAGGTTCACCTCCTTCACTACACACAGATACACACAACAGACACATGCTCAGGTTCACCTCCTTCACTACACACAGATACACACAACAGACACGTGCTCAGGTTCACCTCCTTCACTCTACACAGATACACACAACAGACACAGGCTCAGGTTCACCTCCTTCACTCTACACAGATACACACAACAGACACAGGCTCAGGTTCACCTCCTTCACTACACACAGATACACACAACAGACACATGCTCAGGTTCACCTCCTTCACTCTACACAGATACACACAACAGACACAGGCTCAGGTTCACCTCCTTCACTCTACACAGATACACACAACAGACACATGCTCAGGTTCACCTCCTTCACTCTACACAGATACACACAACAGACACATGCTCAGGTTCACCTCCTTCACTCTACACAGATACACACAACAGACACGTGCTCAGGTTCACCTCCTTCACTACACACATATACACACAACAGACACGTGCTCAGGTTCACCTCCTTCACTCTACACAGATACACACAACAGACACAGGCTCAGGTTCACCTCCTTCACTACACACAGATACACACAACAGACACGTGCTCAGGTTCACCTCCTTCACTACACACAGATACACACAACAGACACATGCTCAGGTTCACCTCCTTCACTACACACAGATACACACAACAGACACGTGCTCAGGTTCACCTCCTTCACTCTACACAGATACACACAACAGACACATGCTCAGGTTCACCTCCTTCACTACACACAAATACACACAACAGACACAGGCTCAGGTTCACCTCCTTCACTCTACACAGATACACACAACAGACACGTTCTCTACACAGATACACACAACAGACACATGCTCAGGTTCACCTCCTTCACTCTACACAGATACACACAACAGACACGTGCTCAGGTTCACCTCCTTCACTCTACACAGATACACACAACAGACACAGGCTCAGGTTCACCTCCTTCACTCTACACAGATACACACAACAGACACATGCTCAGGTTCACCTCCTTCACTCTACACAGATACACACAACAGACACAGGCTCAGGTTCACCTCCTTCACTCTACACAGATACACACAACAGACACATGCTCAGGTTCACCTCCTTCACTCTACACAGATACACACAACAGACACATGCTCAGGTTCACCTCCTTCACTCTACACAGATACACACAACAGACACAGGCTCAGGTTCACCTCCTTCACTACACACAGATACACACAACAGACACAGGCTCAGGTTCACCTCCTTCACTCTACACAGATACACACAACAGACACATGCTCAGGTTCACCTCCTTCACTCTACACAGATACACACAACAGACACAGGCTCAGGTTCACCTCCTTCACTACACACAGATACACACAACAGACACAGGCTCAGGTTCACCTCCTTCACTCTACACAGATACACACAACAGACACATGCTCAGGTTCACCTCCTTCACTCTACACAGATACACACAACAGACACGTTCTCTACACAGATACACACAACAGACACAGGCTCAGGTTCACCTCCTTCACTCTACACAGATACACACAACAGACACGTGCTCAGGTTCACCTCCTTCACTACACACAGATACACACAACAGACACAGGCTCAGGTTCACCTCCTTCACTACACACAGATACACACAACAGACACATGCTCAGGTTCACCTCCTTCACTCTACACAGATACACACAACAGACACATGCTCAGGTTCACCTCCTTCACTACACACAGATACACACAACAGACACATGCTCAGGTTCACCTCCTTCACTACACACAGATACACACAACAGACACGTGCTCAGGTTCACCTCCTTCACTACACACAGATACACACAACAGACACGTGCTCAGGTTCACCTCCTTCACTACACACAGATACACACAACAGACACATGCTCAGGTTCACCTCCTTCACTACACACAGATACACACAACAGACACAGGCTCAGGTTCACCTCCTTCACTCTACACAGATACACACAACAGACACAGGCTCAGGTTCACCTCCTTCACTACACACAGATACACACAACAGACACATGCTCAGGTTCACCTCCTTCACTCTACACAGATACACACAACAGACACAGGCTCAGGTTCACCTCCTTCACTCTACACAGATACACACAACAGACACATGCTCAGGTTCACCTCCTTCACTCTACACAGATACACACAACAGACACGTGCTCAGGTTCACCTCCTTCACTACACACAGATACACACAACAGACACGTGCTCAGGTTCACCTCCTTCACTCTACACAGATACACACAACAGACACAGGCTCAGGTTCACCTCCTTCACTACACACAGATACACACAACAGACACATGCTCAGGTTCACCTCCTTCACTACACACAGATACACACAACAGACACGTGCTCAGGTTCACCTCCTTCACTACACACAGATACACACAACAGACACAGGCTCAGGTTCACCTCCTTCACTCTACACAGATACACACAACAGACACAGGCTCAGGTTCACCTCCTTCACTACACACAGATACACACAACAGACACAGGCTCAGGTTCACCTCCTTCACTACACACAGATACACACAACAGACACATGCTCAGGTTCACCTCCTTCACTCTACACAGATACACACAACAGACACAGGCTCAGGTTCACCTCCTTCACTCTACACAGATACACACAACAGACACAGGCTCAGGTTCACCTCCTTCACTACACACAGATACACACAACAGACACAGGCTCAGGTTCACCTCCTTCACTACACACAGATACACAGAACAGACACAGGCTCAGGTTCACCTCCTTCACTCTACACAGATACACACAACAGACACATGCTCAGGTTCACCTCCTTCACTCTACACAGATACACACAACAGACACAGGCTCAGGTTCACCTCCTTCACTACACACAGATACACACAACAGACACATGCTCAGGTTCACCTCCTTCACTCTACACAGATACACACAACAGACACGTTCTCTACACAGATACACACAACAGACACAGGCTCAGGTTCACCTCCTTCACTCTACACAGATACACACAACAGACACGTTCTCTACACAGATACACACAACAGACACAGGCTCAGGTTCACCTCCTTCACTCTACACAGATACACACAACAGACACGTGCTCAGGTTCACCTCCTTCACTACACACAGATACACACAACAGACACAGGCTCAGGTTCACCTCCTTCACTACACACAGATACACACAACAGACACATGCTCAGGTTCACCTCCTTCACTCTACACAGATACACACAACAGACACAGGCTCAGGTTCACCTCCTTCACTACACACAGATACACACAACAGACACAGGCTCAGGTTCACCTCCTTCACTACACACAGATACACACAACAGACACAGGCTCAGGTTCACCTCCTTCACTACACACAGATACACACAACAGACACAGGCTCAGGTTCACCTCCTTCACTACACACAGATACACACAATTATTGTCATTCAGTGAAATATCACAGTCGCACTCACACAAAATGGCGTCTAATAATAATAATGTAAAGACACACAGAAACTACTTATTGTGTATATTGTGTGTATATTGTGTATATTGTGTGTGCTCCCTGTGTCCCTGACCTCTGTCCTGTCTGTGCGCTGCAACACTGACATTTCTCCACTGTGGGACCAATAAAGGATCTCTGTCCTTAATCTTATTGTCCCACTGAGATGAACCAGTTTACTCAGTGCTCTGTCCAGTTCTGGAGCACACGGGGAACAAAAGGACCAAGAGGTAGAGACGGATTGTTATCATTGACAGAAGGATTTGATTCATTCTTGTGTTTAACTATTGATGGTTTTAACTTTTATGGTTCAAAGTTTATATTAGCTTTATATATAACTATGGATGTATTATACTATCTGTATAGGCTATGGCTAGCTTCAACTGTCTCCAGCACGGAGAGTGAGAGACACCAGAGAGAGACACCAGAGAGAGAGACACCAGAGAGAGACACCAGAGAGAGAGACACCAGAGAGAGAGACACCAGAGAGAGAGACACCAGAGAGAGACACCAGAGAGAGACACCAGAGAGAGAGACACCAGAGAGAGACACCAGAGAGAGAGACACCAGAGAGAGACACCAGAGAGAGACACCAGAGAGAGACACCAGAGAGAGAGACACCAGAGAGAGAGACACCAGAGAGAGACACCAGAGAGAGACACCAGAGAGAGACACCAGAGAGAGACACCAGAGAGAGAGACACCAGAGAGAGACACCAGAGAGAGACACCAGAGAGAGAGACACCAGAGAGAGACACCAGAGAGAGAGACACCAGAGAGAGAGACACCAGAGAGAGACACCAGAGAGAGACACCAGAGAGAGACACCAGAGAGAGACACCAGAGAGAGACACCAGAGAGAGACACCAGAGAGAGACACCAGAGAGAGAGACACCAGAGAGAGACACCAGAGAGAGACACCAGAGAGAGACACCAGAGAGAGAGACACCAGAGAGAGACACCAGAGAGAGACACCAGAGAGAGACACCAGAGAGAGAGACCAGAGAGAGAGACCAGAGAGAGAGACCAGAGAGAGAGACCAGAGAGACACCAGAGAGAGACACCAGAGAGAGAGACACCAGAGAGAGACACCAGAGAGAGACACCAGAGAGAGACACCAGAGAGAGAGACACCAGAGAGAGACACCAGAGAGAGAGACACCAGAGAGAGACACCAGAGAGACACCAGAGAGAGAGACCAGAGAGAGACACCAGAGAGAGACACCAGAGAGAGACACCAGAGAGAGAGACCAGAGAGACACCAGAGAGACACCAGAGAGAGAGACCAGAGAGAGAGACCAGAGAGAGACACCAGAGAGAGAGACCAGAGAGAGAGACCAGAGAGAGACACCAGAGAGAGAGACCAGAGAGAGAGACCAGAGAGAGAGACCAGAGAGAGACACCAGAGAGAGAGACCAGAGAGACACCAGAGAGAGACACCAGAGAGAGAGACCAGAGAGAGAGACCAGAGAGAGAGACCAGAGAGAGAGACCAGAGAGACACCAGAGAGAGAGACACCAGAGAGAGACACCAGAGAGAGAGACACCAGAGAGAGACACCAGAGAGACACCAGAGAGAGAGACCAGAGAGAGAGACACCAGAGAGAGACACCAGAGAGAGACACCAGAGAGAGACACCAGAGAGAGAGACCAGAGAGAGAGACCAGAGAGAGAGACCAGAGAGAGACACCAGAGAGAGACACCAGAGAGAGAGACCAGAGAGAGAGACCAGAGAGAGAGACCAGAGAGAGACACCAGAGAGAGAGACCAGAGAGAGACACCAGAGAGAGAGACCAGAGAGAGAGACCAGAGAGAGACACCAGAGAGAGAGACCAGAGAGAGAGACCAGAGAGAGACACCAGAGAGACACCAGAGAGACACCAAAGAGACACCAGAGAGAGACACCAGAGAGAGACACCAGAGAGACACCAGAGAGAGACACCAGAGAGAGACACCAGAGAGAGAGACCAGAGAGAGAGACCAGAGAGAGACACCAGAGAGAGACACCAGAGAGAGAGACCAGAGAGAGAGACCAGAGAGAGACACCAGAGAGACACCAGAGAGACACCAGAGAGAGAGACCAGAGAGAGACACCAGAGAGAGAAACCAGAGAGAGAGAGACCAGAGAGAGACACCAGAGAGACACCAGAGAGACACCAGAGAGACACCAGAGAGAGACACCAGAGAGAGACACCAGAGAGAGACACCAGAGAGAGAGACCAGAGAGAGAGACCAGAGAGAGACACCAGAGAGAGACACCAGAGAGAGACACCAGAGAGAGAGACCAGAGAGAGAGACCAGAGAGAGAGACCAGAGAGAGACACCAGAGAGACACCAGAGAGACACCAGAGAGAGACACCAGAGAGAGAGACCAGAGAGAGAGACACCAGAGAGAGACACCAGAGAGAGAGAGCCCAGAGAGAGAGACCAGAGAGAGAGACCAGAGAGAGAGACCAGAGAGAGACCAGAGAGAGAGACCAGAGAGAGAGACACCAGAGAGAGACACCAGAGAGAGAGACCAGAGAGAGAGACCAGAGAGAGAGACCAGAGAGAGACACCAGAGAGAGACACCAGAGAGAGAGACCAGAGAGAGAGACCAGAGAGAGACCAGAGAGAGACCAGAGAGACCAGAGAGAGACCTGAGAGAGACCAGAGAGAGAGACCAGAGAGAGACCAGAGAGAGAGACCAGAGAGACCAGAGAGAGAGACCAGAGAGAGACCAGAGAGAGACACCAGAGAGAGAGACCAGAGAGACACCAGAGAGAGACACCAGAGAGAGAGACCAGAGAGAGAGACCAGAGAGAGACACCAGAGAGAGACCAGAGTGAGAGACCAGAGAGAGACCAGAGAGAGACCAGAGAGACCAGAGAGAGACCAGAGAGAGAGACCAGAGAGAGACCAGAGAGAGAGACCAGAGAGAGACACCAGACAGAGACCAGAGAGAGACCAGAGAGAGACCAGAGAGAGAGACCAGAGAGAGAGACCAGAGAGAGACCAGAGAGAGAGACCAGAGAGAGAGACCAGAGAGAGACCAGAGAGAGAGACCAGAGAGAGACCAGAGAGAGACACCAGAGAGAGAGACCAGAGAGAGAGACCAGAGAGAGACACCAGAGAGAGACAGACACCAGAGAGAGAGACCAGAGAGAGACAGAGACCAGAGAGAGAGACCAGAGAGAGAGACCAGAGAGACACCAGAGAGAGACACCAGAGAGAGACACCAGAGAGAGAGACCAGAGAGAGAGACCAGAGAGAGAGACCAGAGAGAGAGACCAGAGAGAGACACCAGAGAGACACCAGAGAGAGACACCAGAGAGAGAGAGAGAGAGACACCAGAGAGAGACACCAGAGAGAGAGAGACCAGAGAGACAGACCAGAGAGAGAGACCAGAGAGAGAGACCAGAGAGAGACCAGAGAGAGACCAGAGAGAGAGACCAGAGAGAGACCAGAGAGAGACACCAGAGAGAGACCAGAGAGAGAGACCAGAGAGAGAGACCAGAGAGAGACCAGAGAGAGACACCAGAGAGAGAGACCAGAGAGAGAGACCAGAGAGAGACCAGAGAGAGACCAGAGAGACCAGAGAGAGACCTGAGAGAGACCAGAGAGAGAGACCAGAGAGAGACCAGAGAGAGACCAGAGAGCCCAGAGAGAGAGACCAGAGAGAGACCAGAGAGAGAGACCAGAGGGAGAGACCAGAGAGAGACCAGAGAGAGACACCAGAGAGAGAGACCAGAGAGAGACCAGAGAGAGAGACCAGAGAGAGACCAGAGCGAGAGACCAGAGAGAGACCAGAGAGAGACCAGAGAGACCAGAGAGAGACCAGAGAGAGAGACCAGAGAGAGACCAGAGAGAGACCAGAGAGAGACCAGAGAGACCAGAGAGAGACACCAGACAGAGACCAGAGAGAGAGACCAGAGAGAGACCAGAGAGAGAGACCAGAGAGACCAGAGAGAGAGACCAGAGAGAGACACCAGAGAGAGACCAGAGAGAGACACCAGAGAGAGAGACCAGAGAGAGAGACCAGAGAGACAGACACCAGAGAGACAGACACCAGAGAGACAGACACCAGAGAGACAGACACCAGAGAGACAGACACCAGAGAGACAGAGACCAGAGAGACACCAGAGAGAGACACCAGAGAGAGACAGACACCAGAGAGAGAGACCAGAGAGAGACAGACACCAGAGAGAGAGACCAGAGAGAGAGACCAGAGAGACACCAGAGAGAGAGACCAGAGAGAGAGACCAGAGAGAGACCAGAGAGAGACAGAGACCAGAGAGAGAGACCAGAGAGAGACACCAGAGAGAGAGACCAGAGAGAGACACCAGAGAGAGACACCAGAGAGACACCAGAGAGAGACACCAGAGAGAGACCAGAGAGAGACACCAGAGAGAGACACCAGAGAGACACCAGAGAGAGACACCAGAGAGAGACCAGAGAGAGACACCAGAGAGAGACCAGAGAGAGACCAGAGAGAGACACCAGAGAGAGAGACCAGAGAGAGAGACCAGAGAGAGAGACCAGAGAGAGACACCAGAGAGACACACCAGAGAGAGACACCAGAGAGAGAGACCAGAGAGAGACACCAGAGAGAGAGACCAGAGAGAGAGACCAGAGAGAGACCAGAGAGAGACACCAGAGAGAGAGACCAGAGAGACACCAGAGAGACACCAGAGAGAGAGACCAGAGAGAGAGACCAGAGAGAGACACCAGAGAGAGAGACCAGAGAGAGAGACCAGAGAGAGACACCAGAGAGAGAGACCAGAGAGAGAGACCAGAGAGAGAGACCAGAGAGAGACACCAGAGAGAGAGACCAGAGAGACACCAGAGAGAGACACCAGAGAGAGAGACCAGAGAGAGACACCAGAGAGAGACACCAGAGAGAGACCAGAGAGAGACCAGAGAGAGACACCAGAGAGAGAGACCAGAGAGAGAGAGACACCAGAGAGAGAGACCAGAGAGACACCAGAGAGAGACACCAGAGAGAGAGACCAGAGAGAGACCAGAGAGACACCAGAGAGAGACCAGAGAGAGACCAGAGAGAGACACCAGAGAGAGAGACCAGAGAGACACCAGAGAGAGACACCAGAGAGAGAGACCAGAGAGAGACAGACACCAGAGAGAGAGACCAGAGAGACACCAGAGAGAGACACCAGAGAGAGAGACCAGAGAGAGACCAGAGAGACACCAGAGAGAGACCAGAGAGACACTAGAGAGAGACCAGGGAGACACCAGAGAGAGAGACCAGAGAGAGAGACCAGAGAGAGACAGACACCAGAGAGAGAGACACCAGAGAGAGACACCAGAGAGAGACACCAGAGAGAGAGACACCAGAGAGAGAGACACCAGAGAGAGACACCAGAGAGAGAGACAGACACCAGCGAGAGAGACACCAGAGAGAGAGACACCAGAGAGAGACCAGAGCTGGCCATAATGCAGACATCTTGGAGAGACCAGGGGCAGACATCTTGGAGAGACCAGGGGCAGACATCTTGGAGAGACCAGGGGCAGACATCTTGGCGACCAGGGCTTGGGTATCACATGCCAAAGTCGCCCCAAACCTTACCACCTGTGCTTTCAGTTTAACTGTAGTAACTGATACATTTGGGGGGTCTTGGTCCTACCTTCAGCCTCTTCAGGTAGCGTTTAGTGTGTGCCACCAGTAAGTCTTCTTCAGTGGCTTCTAGAGCTTCCACGAAGTTCCCATCATGAAGAAACTGCTCCTCTAAAAAACATAAGCTTCCATCAAATATATGTAAAGAAATAATGTGCTGTGTTTATCCGTGTCTGCAGAGTCCAGAGGAACTTGGCTGCTGCCCAGAGCGACGCGGTGCCAGGCTGTGCCAGGCTGTGCCAGGCTGTGCTACAACCAGCCTCTCTGATTCAGGCCGATGCTAATGTCTGTAATGTCCTCTATACTGTATCTATTCATCTGGATTCTGACACATTTACTAAAGGAAAGAACGTCCAGAATATTCATGTGAAATGGTTAAAGCTTTAACAGCCTCCAGAACGGACTCTCTCATTATCACAGCGTGCTACTCAAATAAATACATACGACTGATCATTTAAGTTCTGTCAAACGATTACAATACTTGATCATGTTGTAAATCACACATTTGTCCCTGTTCTGAATGTCCCTGGATTTTGTTTGAAAAGTTATGAAGCAAAAAGTATAAATTAATCCAATCTCAGTATTCTCAGCGTTTGGGCTGAGAGATAGTTATGATTCTGACCTTGACCTCTGACCCTGACCCTGATGGAGCCCGGTCTTCAGCCTGCTGTACTTTAGTTCTCTAGGCAGCGGAGCAGAAGCGAACCTTTGATGCGGTGTTACTTCATAAAACAATATCACGGGTAGAAAATATACAGTCGAACAAAACGATTAGGAAATACTTCCTGTGTAAGCTGCTGCCAGGGGGAGGGGCTTCATTAGCCTTTTGTTTTTTTCAAATTACAACATTCTCGGCTGCAAAGAATGTAGTTTAACGTTGTTTAAATTTGTGAGCAAAACTTTTGTGTGATGTCATAGTGGAACGATGACCTCATACTTTAACAGGACTGAGGGGAAGTGGATTTAGCACAGTGTGTCTCCTTTAAACTGGCTACTTTAGTTTAACAACACTTACTCTTGTGTCCAACAGATACATTTCCACATTTACCTTTTAAGAAGTGAATGACTTTGCCCCACTTCCCGGCATCAAAGGGGTGCAGCTTCTCCAGGCCCATGAAGGTGATGTTGTAGTCGGGGTGGTAGACGATGGGGAGCTGTGTTTTGGGGATGGATCCGTACAGAGCAGAGCGGTGTGGGCCATGAGCACTGAACAAAACACAGAGATTATACAGCTGCTGCAGCTGTGTCACATCTGTGTGACTCACCTCCTCTCTCCTTCATTATCTCTCTGGACAGACATGGTCTTCAGGCATTTCTACTTCATCTTCACAACTGCATCTGTCAAACATCAACAAACAAGAATAAAATGGCTTTGCTCAGTTTGGTTTCAGACGTGATTGTAACTCAGTCCAAGTCAGAGCTTGTTTCTGTAAATAAGTGTATTTGAGTGTGTTCACAGTTAAGTGTCAATTGAAGTATTTGGACTTTAAAAGGTTATAACTTAAAAACTAAAATTACTATCATAGATTGGAAAAAAGATTTCAAACACAGACACATCAAAGAGATAGTGTGGATAAAATCAAAAGGAAAGATTGTCAAATATATTTTTGGTGACATTTTAAACGACAAAATCATCCTCTTTTCTGACCATTCTACTGTGACGCCAGTTACATAGAAATGTCCTCAGTCTGAAAAAGCGGCAGATGAAATCCCATAATATTTACATGGTTAACACAACATCAGTAAATCACTTGATATGAAAAGGAATCGTTAAAAAATAAAAAATAATTAATTAATTAAATGACCCCTGAAAAATGTGTAACGGACGTGATGGTTTCCGTCCTCTTTTCTCTAACATTTAAACTTGAGAAAGAAAAAAATCTTGTCTGGTTTCACATTTAATTGGTTGACTAAATGAAAGTATCACTTTGTTTCTACTCTGTGTAAAAAAATAGAATCTCTGAATCAAATGTGGACATCTGAAAATACCATCAAACTTCCACAAAGCTCATTCCGTCAAATCATCGTTACATAAAATAAACAGGGCGCTGTAGGAAACTTGTCTAATGTATAAAATAGTTATGTTCTAGCAACTTCTAATGGACAGAGGTGGTGTTTGGAAACATGAAAAACATTAAATATCTTCTGATTATTAAAATCTAATTTTTGGCCTTTTGTCACACTTTTGTGCCCTTTAGTGTGAACAAGCCCATTTGCATAATGTAGTACAGTACAGTACAGTACAGTACAGTGCAGTACAGTACAGTACAGTATAGTACAGTACAGTGCAATGCAGTGCAGTACAGTACAGTACAGTACAGTACAGTAGAGCACTGTGCAGTACAGTACAGTGCAGTACAGTACAGCACTGTACATTACAGTGCAGTACAGTACAGTGCAGTACAGTACAGTACAGTGCAGTACAGTACAGTACAGTACAGTACAGCACAGCACTGTACAGTACAGTGCAGTACAGTACAGTACAGCACTGTACAGTACAGTACAGTACAGTACAGTGCAGTACAGTGCAGTGCAGTGCAGTACAGTACAGTACAGTACAGTGCAGTACAGTACAGTACAGTACAGTACAGTACAGTACAGTACAGTACAGTGCAGTGCAGTGCAGTACAGTACAGTACAGTACAGTACAGTACAGTAGAGCACTGTGCAGTACAGTACAGTACAGTACAGTACAGCACAGTACAGCACTGTGCAGTACAGTACAGTACAGCACAGCACTGTACAGTACAGTGCAGTACAGTACAGTACAGTGCAGTACAGTACAGTACAGTACAGCACAGCACTGTACAGTACAGTGCAGTGCAGTGCAGTGCAGTACAGTACAGTACAGTGCAGTGCAGTACAGTACAGTACAGTACAGTACAGTACAGTGCAGTGCAGTACAGTACAGTACAGTACAGTACAGTACAGTACAGTACAGTACAGTGCAGTGCAGTGCAGTACAGTACAGTACAGTACAGTGCAGTACAGTACAGTACAGTGCAGTACAGTACAGTACAGTGCAGTACAGTGCAGTACAGTACAGTACAGCACTGTACAGTACTGTAATACTAGGGCCACAGTGGATAGCACTCTCGCCTCTCAGCAAGAAGGTCCTGGGTTCAAATCCCGGTTGGACCAGGGCCTTTCTGAGTGGAGTTTGCATGTTCTCCCCGTGTCTGCGTAGGTTTCCTCCGGGTGCTCCGGTTTCCCCTACCACTAAAAATATGTACAATAGGTCTGGCATGTGCCTCCTGTACTGGCCCCGCTCCCAAAAATAACAATTGTAAACCGCTTTGAGACTCCGATGTGCAGTGAAAAGGCGGTATATAAATAAAGATTACTTACAGTACAGTGCAGTGCAGTACAGTACTGTACAGTACAGTACAGTACAGTGCAGTGCAGTGCAGTACAGTACAGTGCAGTGCAGTACAGTGCAGTGCAGTGCAGTGCAGTACAGTACAGTGTAGGGCTGAAACAACTAATCGATTAATCGACGACTAATCGATTATTGAAATAGTCGACAACTATTTTAGTAATCGATTAATCGTCTTCTGGTTCACACGGACTCAAACAAAGCAAAAATGACATGAAAATGTAGTATTTTTGATTAAAACCGACTTTGTTTTTATAATTTCATGAATATCTGTCTGTCTCATCCAATCAGAGCAGAATTAGCACAAAGAGCCTGTTACAAACATTTACTTTAAGTTTACGCCTCAATACGTCCTCGAGTGTTGCCACTTTAGCTTTTTGTGATGAAAAAATAATTTTTTTCTACACAATCCACAGCCAAGCGATTACTCGATTAATCGTAAAAATAATCTATAGATTAATCGATTACAAAATAATCGTTAGTTGCAGCTCTAGTACAGTGCAGCACGCACGCACGCACGCACGCACACACACACACGTTTTTGTTACCTGGTGGGTCCCTTTGACAGGGCCGTTCAGAATGGGACCCATAGACATAATCTTTTTTTACCAAGACTTTAAGTAATACAAAACAGTCAATAGAAACCAAACAACTATTTTAAAGGAATTTTATTTTAGATTTTGTTTTCGAATTGCAGTGATTCTATTTTTGACATAGAATTTAATGCCACTCCATGTCCGATGTCTAAGGTCATCTGGTGAGGCATTAATGCAGGCCAGGCAGTGAGGCCAGGCCAGGCAGTGAGACTTCCCAGGGACCTTTCCAGTCTGTATGAAAGGTGTCATGGTCTTCTCCACAGCCTTCACCTCAGATGCAGACCATGGCTTTCTTACACGTTCTAGGGAGAGAAATAAAAATATATTAGCAATATACACTCCCAGGGTGAGGACCAAGCAGCCTGGCTGTAATCCCCCACCTGGTACACTTACCAGAAGGGGCACTGCCACTACCATGGGGTGCATCTGGATGAATGGTTGAAGGTTCTCCGCTTGAAGTTTCTTTTAGCCCGTCCGTTTGTGAGAGGATCTCTACTGCTCTCCCTGTCGCACAGAAAATAAAAATACAAGTGGCCTTTAGGGGAAAAAAATCATACATATTTTAATAATATCAAGAATTACCTTCAGGCTCAATTTGTATCTGGTCGAGGCTCTTTCCTTCGAATTCCGTCACTCTTCCCTGCTCCATGGCCATCAACACTTTGCTGATTTTGGCCAGCTCCAGTGTCCCCTCTGGTAGTCTGTAATATTGCCTGTGGATGCGAATGTCATGGCCGAGGAAGTTGGCAAGTATGTCCATCTCATTCTCTTTCATATTGAGAACTGTAGACATAGTAGCTATGTGCTTTCTAAGTTTGGTTGAGGATAGCATCTCTGGATGCACCGCACCACATTCTTTGGCTACCTGGCGTAGGGAGTCTGATCCCCTGATGTGGGTGTCTGCGCCCGGGCGGGAAAAGAAGTATGGGTTATGGTCAGAGATGGAACAGGCCCTTCTGTTCTCCACCAGCACCTCCATCGAAGCAATCATTTCAGGAGTCAAAAGAACCGGCACTTTCCGACTTCTTTTCCCTTTAATTTCAATGCGTTGAAAATGCTGACACAGCTTTTTCTCAAGTTGGGACAGTCCCAGAGCAATGTCAGAATGGATCCCAGTCTTACTTCTTAAGGTAAAGGCTGTCAGTGGCATCTTTGAAACCTCACCTTCCCTTCTTCGATTGAAAATAATGACCTCACAAAGAGTCAAAACTGCCAGTTTAGACCAATGCTTAGACGTTGGCTCACTTATTAGGGTTTGCACATATTCAGGTCGACATACCTCAATATGTGCATGCATGGCTCTAACGTCCTCAGTCAGAGGGAGCAGGTCCGGAGTGTTCCACTTGGCTTGCCGGAGGGTCTGTAGGGCAGCAGAAGAAACACAGACGTCCCACCTCTTCTCAAAAAGCAGCCGGCTTCGTTGGAGGTTTTTAATAAATAGTTCATCAACACAATGCTCCATTTTTGAGTCACATTCAAGAATATCTGCTAGCTTTCTGAGGCTATGGCCGAGTTTGAGGGCCAAGGATGGAGTCTTGTATTGATTTGTTTCCTCATCATATCCAGCCACAGACCTGACTGCATCAATCACATGGTTAAAGTTGGAAGGAATAAAGAAATCCTTAATTGTTTTCAGTTTCCCTGCGGTTTTTGCTTCGTTAATTAACCTACCGACTTCTCTCATTTTCTGCCTAATGTAATCATGCTTTGTCTTATCATGCCCGTGTTTTAAGTACAGGTGCTCTCCGAGTCTCAGAGTCTGCTTTGACAACACCCGTGACCTCATCCTGATGCATTGCCGAAATTAAAGACCACAGCTTTTTGCTGATGCCCTCCGGTACAGGCTGGGCTAGGGAGCAGAGGGACTGGACCCTACTTCTACCTGGTTTAGCCTGGGCATCTTTCTGTGAAAGCCGGCACCTGGCCACATGCCTCCACAGCGACTTTCGCTTAAGCAATGCCCCACAGTCTATACAGTGCAAAAACTCACTGGATTTAACTGGGGAATTTGGCTGTTTAGCTGGGACTAAAGTTCCAATGCCGGCCTTTAAAACCTCAACATTGCGCTCACGGTTTCCACTATTCCTGATCAAATCAAACTGAAGTTTACGTGCTTTAGATTTCACAGGTAGAGCCAATGCTCTGGCTACGTCACTTTCATTTCCATGTTTTCTAGTCAAATGACGGGACATTTTGTGGCAGGACATTGAACAGTAGAGGCAGAAGTGTCTCTTGCTGTATACTCGCCCCCCATTTTTCTTCTTTTGCAGCTGCATGATAACAATCTTATTTGCCTTTGGTTCGTCACTTTCCGAGTCTTGAAGAAAAGTGTTTTTGATTTTTCTTTTTCCATACTTTTTTACAGGTTTCTTCTTGACAGTTAAATCGTCAGAATCTGAGTCGACTTCATCAATTAGGGACTCTTGACTAAGCTGCACAAACAACAAATAATTTGTAATCATTCTATATAACAATTTGAAGTCATGACTTGTAGTCAGCACTTACCAGTGGTTTGTAAGCGTGCGCTTCAGTGTGCTCCTCCATGATTTCTTGCAGCCTAATGAACCACACACTTGCACCTTTTTCTAGCCTGACACCTGATTTCCTCTGTTGTGCTGCTCCATGATTGGCTCCAGCCTCTGTTGTGCTGCTCCATGATTGGCTCCAGCCTCTGTTGTGCTGCTCCATGATTGGCTCCAGCCTGCTGGACTGAAATTGCCCCAGTGTGCCCCTCCTTGATATTCCGCAACCCACCACCAGGGTTCCGACACATAACACACTTTTTTCAGGAAAGTAAACCTCCAGGGGTCCTTTCCATATTTTTACAGAGACTGCATAAGGACCGTTAGAAAAGCATTACCCATTGATTATTAAGCTTGGACCAGTGGGGTCCGGTGTTCGGGCCCCACCACGTAAAACCAGTCCCCATGACGTGAGTGGAATCTCAGGTTATGGAACCCACCAGGAGTTGAAAACAAGTGCACACACGCACGTACACACACACACATACACACACACACACACACACACACACACACACACATACACGCACACACACACACACACACACACACACACACACATACACGTACACACACACACATACACGTACACGCACGCACATACACGCACATATATAATAAAAAAAACCAGCTGTGCAGTGTTTACAACTATGAGCTGCGCATGCGCAACAGCGGAATGTTCAGGAAATGACAGACGTTATAAAAGATGAAGAATGTTTGTGTTATTTGAAGAATCCTAACACAGGAGCAGGATCCGTGTCATATGTGTATACACTTATATACACTTATATACAGTTATTATATAATTATTATATGTTATTATACATCAGAAACGACGCTCACCTGCTTCAGGCGGAAGGACGCACGTCTGCGGAGGACGTTTCAGACACAAACCACACGTTAGGACGTTAACCACACGTTAGGAAGTGTGTCCTCACGTGTCTGTGTGAATGAAAGGTTCTTTTATTCCGAGACGAATGTCGTGAACGCAGTGTTTGGCGCTAGCTTTCCCTTTAGCAGCCGTACGCAGCTTCTCCTGCGCAGTTGCACTAGCTTACGTAAACTGCGTAAGGATGCGCGAGTGACGTACGCTCAGGAATCACAGACTGAGATTTTACTGTCTCTACTCTTTGATATAAACCTTTGTCCTGATCTATAAACAGCACCCGGAGGAAACCTACCCTTAACCTATTGTTTAATAAACAATAGGCTTCACTCACCTTTGAAAACACCCACAAACAGTTCACTGCTTTTATTTAACATCTGCTACATTTGTAAAACCATACAAACACAACCATACAACACACAAAAGAGACACAACAAAGACAAAGCAGACATTAAAATACAACATGTGAAGTTTAAAGTAGTACTAGAATGTAATATGCTGCTATCCAGAATATATAACTACAATATGTGTTTACAATATTTCGGGTGTTCATTTTGATATGTTCAGATGAATTATGTTAAAAAAACAGCTTTGAAGTGGCACCTTTTCACAAACGCTAGGGGGCGCCAAAATGTCGGCGATGACGTAGGAGAAGGACCTCTCACAGCAGCAGCAGCAGTCTGGGCTGAATCTGTAGGAGGTTTCACTGTCATCTGAACAAGGTATAAACATATTTACATCAGTTTGTACATAATAGTGTGCAACTCTTTTAACCTTTTAGCCTTATTTGTGAGATTCAAGCTAATTAGTGTTGGGCAAGTTAGCTAACTCTACTTGATATCATAAAACATGCTAACAAGGCTAATATTCGTTTTTACATTATGCCAGTCTCACTTTGCCTTAGATTTATTTACCACAATGTACATTGTAATATCCATAAATGCTAATCAAAATAACTTGAATTAAATAAATATTTTACTTTTATGAACAAAAAGCTGCAGAAGTTGAAAACATAGACTACATGTGATGCAATCATTGATAAAAATGCTAATTAAACCGTTAATAGGTGTTAGCATTTATGGATATTACAATGTACATTGTGGTAAATAATGCAGCCCGTGTTTCTCATTCAAAAGGTAAAACGCGTTTCATCCCATTTTTATTCGCTAATCGCTATGGCAACAGCCTTCATATTTCATCACTCCGAAGCCCATGGGAGCAGTTGTAGATAACGCGCACACGCACACGCAACCAAAGCGCGCTCTGGGCGCCACGGAGCGGCGTGCACACGGCAGCATCATCACAGAGGAGCAGCCTCCGCAGGAGCGAGGTGCAAAGAGGAGCAAAGAGAGGAGCACAAGGAGGAGCACAAGGAGGAGCAGAGAGGATCAAAGAGAGGAGCAAAGAGAGGATCAGAGAGGAGGAGAGAGAGGAGAAGAGAGAGGAGGAAGAACCAGAGAGCAGTGACAGCAGCGTGTGGACTGTGGAGACCAGAAACGGGGAGAGCAGTGACAGCAGACCACGCTGATGACTGAAGAACCAGTGACAGAAGGGACCAGCAGCGACAGGAGGGACCAGCAGCGACAGGAGGGACCAGCAGTGACCGGAGGAGCATGGAGGAGCTCTGGGGGGTCCCCGGAGCCGCTTCTCTCTGAGGCGGTGGAGAGTCTTAGACTTCTCGCCGGTCTACTGGACCTGGGTCTAGGGTCTGGGTCTGAGTAGAACATGGAGACCTCCTCCGAGAGCCCGAACAAAGCCTCGGAGTTCCTGCAGGAGCTGAACCGGATCATAGAGGCGCAGCGGGACATGCTGGAGCAGCAGCAGCGGCGCATCGAGGAGCTGGAGCTGCAGGTGGCGCAGCTGTGCGCGGACAACGCCAGTCTCCAGGAGCAGCACCGGAGACACATGGCCACGTGCAGACTGCAGGGCACGCACCCGGGGGGGCATCTGGGAGGGCACCCGGGGGGGCACACCAGCCTCCACGCGAGTCTCAGGGCTGTCAGCGACACTGCCATGAGTGACGTGTAAGTTCACAAACTTTCTATGTTCCTTTGTGTGTGTGTGTGTGTGTGTGTGCGTGCGCGCGCGTGTATGTGCGTGCGTGCGTGTGGGTGTGTCTCTGTGTGTGTGTGCGTGCGTGTGTGTGTGTGTGTGTGTGTGTGTGTTTGTGTCATGGATTAGTGCAGCTCAGACTGCGCGTGCACGCGTACACTATTGCATAATGGACGTCATTGACATGCGCAGCACCACATAAACAAATGGATACAGTGCTGTACGCGTGACCCCCGCGTGCACTGCAGGCTCTGTCCACTCTGGGACCATTCTGGGACCACTCTGGGACCACTCTGGGACCACACTGGGACCATTCTGGGTCCATACTGGGGCCACACTGGGACCACACTGGGACCACACTGAGACCACACTGAGACCACATTGGGACCATACTGGGACCATACTGGGACCATACTGGGTCCATACTGGGACCACACTGGGACCACACTGGGACCACACTGGGACCAGATTGGGGCCACACTGGGACCACACTGGGACCACACTGGGACCACACTGGGACCACACTGGGACCAGATTGGGGCCACATTGGGGCCACACTGGGACCACACTGGGACCACACTGGGACCACACTGGGACCAGATTGGGGCCACATTGGGGCCACACTGGGGCCACACTGGGACCACACTGGGACCACACTGGGACCACACTGGGACCAGATTGGGACCACACTGGGGCCACACTGGGACCACACTGGGGCCACACTGGGACCACACTGGGACCACACTGGGACCAGATTGGGGCCACATTGGGGCCACACTGGGGCCACACTGGGACCACACTGGGACCACACTGGGACCAGATTGGGACCACACTGGGGCCACACTGGGACCACACTGGGACCACACTGGGACCACACTGGGACCACACTGGGACCACACTGGGACCAGATTGGGGCCACATTGGGGCCACACTGGGGCCACACTGGGACCACACTGGGACCACACTGGGACCAGATTGGGACCACACTGGGGCCACACTGGGACCACACTGGGGCCACACTGGGACCACACTGGGACCACACTGGGACCAGATTGGGGCCACATTGGGGCCACACTGGGGCCACACTGGGACCACACTGGGACCACACTGGGACCAGATTGGGACCACACTGGGACCACACTGGGACCACACTGGGACCAGATTGGGGCCACATTGGGGCCACACTGGGGCCACACTGGGACCACACTGGGACCACACTGGGACCAGATTGGGACCACACTGGGACCACACTGGGACCACACTGGGACCACACTGGGACCACACTGGGACCAAACTGGGGCCACACTGGGACCACACTGGGACCACACTGGGACCACACTGGGGCCACACTGGGGCCACACTGTACATGAAAGCGGCTCTTTGTGGTGTGTCTCTGTCTCAGGAGCGTCTCGTTGGTTCTTTGTGCTCAGACTCACATCAGTATCAGTCATGTTTGATCTTTTAGTTTAGTCTGTGATGGATGAACCATCAGGAGCCAGAGCAGGAGCCAGAGCAGGAGCCAGAGGAGGAGCCAGAGCAGGAGCCAGAGCAGGAGCCAGAGCAGGAGCCAGAGGAGGAGCCAGAGCAGGAGCCAGAGCAGGAGCCACAGAGGGAGCGAGAGCAGGAGCCACAGAGGGAGCCAGAGCAGGAGCCACAGAGGGAGCCAGAGCAGGAGCCAAAGCAGGAGCCAGAGCAGGAGCCAGAGCAGGAGCCAGAGCAGGAGCCACAGAGCCAGCCAGAGCAGGAGCCAAAGCAGGAGCCAGAGCAGGAGCCAGAGCAGGAGCCAGAGCAGGAGCCACAGAGGGAGCCAGAGCAGGAGCCAAAGCAGGAGCCAGAGCAGGAGCCAGAGCAGGAGCCAGAGCAGGAGCTAGAGCAGGAGCCAGAGCAGGAGCCAGAGCAGGAGCCAGAGCAGGAGCCAGAGCAGGAGCCACAGAGGGAGCCAGAGCAGGAGCCAAAGCAGGAGCCAGAGCAGGAGCCAGAGCAGGAGCCAGAGCAGGAGCCACAGAGGGAGCCAGAGCAGGAGCCAAAGCAGGAGCCAGAGCAGGAGCCAGAGCAGGAGCAGAGCAGGAGCTAGAGCAGGAGCCAGAGCAGGAGCCAGAGCAGGAGCCAGAGCAGGAGCCAAAGCAGGAGCTAGAGCAGGAGCCAGAGCAGGAGCCAGAGCAGGAGCCAAAGCAGGAGCCAGAGCAGGAGCCAGAGCAGGAGCCAGAGCAGGAGCCAAAGCAGGAGCTAGAGCAGGAGCCAGAGCAGGAGCCAGAGCAGGAGCCAGAGCAGGAGCCAGAGCAGGAGCCAGAGCAGGAGCCAAAGCAGGAGCTAGAGCAGGAGCCAGAGCAGGAGCCAGAGCAGGAGCCAGAGCAGGAGCCAAAGCAGGAGCCAGAGCAGGAGCCAGAGCAGGAGCCAGAGCAGGAGCCAGAGCAGGAGCCAAAGCAGGAGCTAGAGCAGGAGCCAGAGCAGGAGCCAGAGCAGGAGCCAGAGCAGGAGCCAAAGCAGGAGCTAGAGCAGGAGCCAGAGCAGGAGCTCGAGCAGGAGCCAGAGCAGGAGCCAGAGCAGGAGCCAAAGCAGGAGCTAGAGCAGGAGCCAGAGCAGGAGCCAGAGCAGGAGCCAGAGCAGGAGCCAAAGCAGGAGCCAGAGCAGGAGCCAGAGCAGGAGCCAAAGCAGGAGCCAGAGCAGCAGCCAGAGCAGGAGCCAGAGCAGGAGCCAGAGCAGGAGCCAGAGCAGGAGCCAGAGCAGGAGCCAGAGCAGGAGCCAGAGCAGGAGCCAGAGCAGGAGCCAGAGCACGAGTAGGAGCAGAGTAGAACCCCCCCCACAGTCTGTTCACTCTGGGGTCAGGGGTCATGTATTCACTAAAAACAGCAGAAATGATGCTTATTTTAATCTGAAAGTTTAGTTTCTTAAACATGGAGTTTGTCATAAGATTATTTTACTAGTTTTAAGATGATCTAATAATGTTCCATGAGGGATGCTGCGTTCCTATTGGCCGACAGGAAGTCCATTCACTTATGTGGCGCCACCTGCAGGTAGAAGCCAGATCCTGTCAGATCTCTGAAGCTAAGCAGGACAGGGCCTGGTTAGTACTGTGATGGGAGACCTCTGGGAACGCCAGGGGCCACAGTGGGGCGGCTGCGGCTGTAAAGTGCCAGACTGTGTTTTGATTCCAGCTCAGAAGCTTCTCTCTGTGTTGTTTACGCCTCGTCCTGTCCCTCATGTCACTGGCAGCCGCTGCAGCCGCTGCAGCCGCAGCAGCCTCTGATAGTTTTACATTTAGAATCACATTCCAAACGTGTCTTTTTGCTCTCACTGCTCCTCTTCTTGTTTGTTTGTTGTTGTTGACGGAGGCCATCCATCCATGTTCTTGTGCTTTATCCATTGCCAAGTCGTGGGGGCAGCCGTCTGAGCAGACACTTCCTCACACCTCCTGCAGCTCATCTGGGGGAATCCTGAGGCGTTCATCTGAGACACCTCTGTGTCCGGGGGAGACTGTCATATTTAATCAATCAAAGACTTCAATCATGCACTGAGACAGTTAGCATGTAGCAGTTAGCATGTAGCGTGTAGCAGTTAGCATGTAGCAGTTCGCAGGTACGCCCGCAGGTGTGTGTGTGTGTGTGCGTGTGTGTGCTTGTGAGTGTGTGTGTGTATCCGTGTGTGTGTCGGTGTGTATCTGTGTGTGTGGGTGTATCTGTGTGTATCTGTGTGTGTGTGTGTGTATCTGTGTGTGTGTGTGTAGGTCACAGCTGATGCCTCTGTTCAGATGGAGCTGTTATTGATCTGTGATCGATACAGAGCTGTGTGTGAGTGCTCCACTGATCGGCTGCTTCAGCTCTCCTCTGATTGGCTGCTTCAGCTCTCCTCTGATTGGCTGCTTCAGCTCTCCTCTGATTGGCTGCTTCAGCTCTCCTCTGATCGGCTGCTTCAGCTCTCCTCTGATCGGCTGCTTCAGCTCTCCTCTGATTGGCTGCTTCAGCTCTCCTCTGATCGGCTGCTTCAGCTCTCCTCTGATTGGCTGCTTCAGCTCTCCTCTGATCGGCTGCTTCAGCTCTCCTCTGATCGGCTGCTTCAGCTCTCCTCTGATTGGCTGCTTCAGCTCTCCTCTGATCGGCTGCTTCAGCTCTCCTCTGATTGGCTGCTTCAGCTCTCCTCTGATTGGCTGCTTCAGCTCTCCTCTGATTGGCTGCTTCAGCTCTCCTCTGATTGGCTGCTTCAGCTCTCCTCTGATTGGCTGCTTCAGCTCTCCTCTGATCGGCTGCTTCAGCTCTCCTCTGATCGGCTGCTTCAGCTCTCCTCTGATTGGCTGCTTCAGCTCTCCTCTGATTGGCTGCTTCAGCTCTCCTCTGATTGGCTGCTTCAGCTCTCCTCTGATCGGCTGCTTCAGCTCTCCTCTGATTGGCTGCTTCAGCTCTCCTCTGATCGGCTGCTTCAGCTCTCCTCTGATTGGCTGCTTCAGCTCTCCTCTGATTGGCTGCTTCAGCCTCATGTGTTTCTGAAGCAGAACTTATGTTTAAATGTATTTAATGATTTTATTTTACTACGATTGGAAACATGTGACATCACAGGGCACATCTGTTGTTTTCACACTCTGTGGAACCAGCGGGTTTTAATGTTTCTTTAATGTGTTTAAAGATCAGCCAATCAAAGGCCTCATAGTATGATCACAAGACTGCTAAGCATTCTGGGTATTGGAGTTGTAGGAGGATCTCACAGTTAAAACGTCCATCCTTGCATTTTCTTCCGCTTCATCCGTTGCCTGGTCGCGGAGGCAGCAGTCTGAGCAGAGACACAGACTCCTCCAGCTCATCTGGGGGAATGCCCGAGTTAGCGATGGTCCTGATGAGTTAGCGATGGTCCTGATGAGTTAGCGATGGTCCTGATGAGTTAGCGATGGTCCTGATGAGTTAGCGATGGTCCTGATGAGTTACTGTAGGTCATCAGGAGCAGGTGATGGCTTCCTGTGGCTCAGAGAATAGACTTTAAAACAGCTCTGCTTGTTACAAGTCTCTCCATGGCCTCGCACCAAAATATATTAGTGACATGTTAGTCCCATATGAACCAGCCCGGACTCTGAGGAGCACAGGGACTGGCCTCCTGCTGGGACTCTGAGGAGCACAGGGACTGGCCTCCTGCTGGGACTCTGAGGAGCACAGGGACTGGACTCCTGCTGGGACTCTGAGGAGCACAGGGACTGGACTCCTGCTGGGACTCTGAGGAGCACAGGGACTGGACTCCTGCTGGGACTCTGAGGAGCACAGGGACTGGCCTCCTGCTGGGACTCTGAGGAGCACAGGGACTGGCCTCCTGTTAGTGCCCAGAGTCAGAACTAAACATGGGGAGGCTGCTTTTCAGATTCATGCTGCTAAAATCTGGAACAGTCTTCCTGAAGATGTGAGACAGGCCTCCTCTCTGACAATGTTTAAAACCAGGTTAAAGACAGTTCTGTTTAGCTGTGCTACAACTGAGGGATTTTATATTTTTATCTTTCTTTTTAATGTTCTGTGATTATTTATGATTTTAATGCTTTCTTGTTTTGTTCAGCACTTTGAGTTGCTTTGTAGATGAATTGTGCTATACAAATAAACTTGCCTTGCCTTAGCGATGCTTCTGATGAGATAGCAATGAAGCAGAGACTGAGGCAGAGACTGAAGCAGAGACTGAAGCAGAGACTGAAGCAGAGACTGAGGCAGAGACTGAGGCAGAGACTGAAGCAGAGACTGAGGCAGAGACTGAGGCAGAGACTGAGGCAGAGACTGAGGCAGAAACTGAAGCAGAGACTGAAGCAGAGACTGAAGCAGAGATTGAAGCAGAGACTGAAGCAGAGACTGAAGCAGAGACTGAGGCAGAGACTGAGGCAGAGACTGAAGCAGAGACTGAGGCAGAGACTGAAGCAGAGACTGAAGCAGAGACTGAGGCAGAGACTGAGGCAGAGACTGAAGCAGAGACTGAGGCAGAGACTGAAGCAGAGACTGAAGCAGAGACTGAGGCAGAGACTGAAGCAGAGACTGAAGCAGAGACTGAAGCAGAGACTGAAGCAGAGACTGAAGCAGAGACTGAAGCAGAGACTGAGGCAGAGACTGAGGCAGAGACTGAAGCAGAGACTGAGACAGAGACTGAAGCAGAGACTGAAGCAGAGGCTGAAGCAGAGACTGAAGCAGAGACTGAAGCAGAGACTGAGGCAGAGACTGAGGCAGAGACTGAAGCAGAGACTGAAGCAGAGACTGAAGCAGAGACTGAAGCAGAGACTGAAGCAGAGACTGAAGCAGAGACTGAGGCAGAGACTGAAGCAGAGACTGAGGCAGAGACTGAAGCAGAGACTGAGGCAGAGACTGAGGCAGAGACTGAGGCAGAGACTGAAGCAGAGACTGAAGCAGAGACTGAGGCAGAGACTGAAGCAGAGACTGAGACAGAGACTGAAGCAGAGACTGAAGCACAGACTGAAGCAGAGACTGAAGCAGAGACTGAAGCACAGACTGAAGCACAGACTGAAGCAGAGACTGAAGCAGAGACTGAAGCAGAGACTGAAGCAGAGACTGAAGCAGAGACTGAAGCAGAGACTGAAGCAGAGACTGAGGCAGAGACTGAGGCAGAGACTGAGGCAGAGACTGAAGCAGAGACTGAGGCAGAGACTGAAGCAGAGACTGAAGCAGAGACTGAAGAGAGACAGATGAGCAGAGACTGAGGCAGAGACTGAGGCAGAGACTGAAGCAGAGACTGAAGCAGAGACTGAAGCAGAGACTGAAGCAGAGACTGAAGCAGAGACTGAAGAGCAGAGACTGAAGCAGAGACTGAAGCAGAGACTGAAGCAGAGACTGAGGCAGAGACTGAAGCAGAGACTGAGCAGAGACTGAAGCAGAGACTGAGCAGAGACTGAAGCAGAGACTGAAGCAGAGACAGAAGCAGAGACTGAAGCAGAGACTGAGCAGAGACTGAAGCAGAGACTGAGGCAGAGACTGAAGCAGAGACTGAAGCAGAGACTGAGAGAGACTGAGAGCAGAGACTGAGCAGAGACTGAAGCAGAGACTGAGGCAGAGACTGAAGCAGAGACTGAGGCAGAGACTGAGCAGAGACTGAAGCAGAGACTGAGGCAGAGACTGAAGCAGAGACTGAGGCAGAGACTGAGCAGAGACTGAGCAGAGACTGAGCAGAGACTGAAGCAGAGACTGAAGCAGAGACTGAAGCAGAGACTGAAGCAGAGACTGAGCAGAGACTGAGCAGAGACTGAGCAGAGACTGAGCAGAGACTGAGCAGAGACTGAGCAGACAGGCAGAGACTGAGCGAGACTGAGCAGAGACTGAGGCAGAGACTGAGGCAGAGACTGAGCAGCAGAGACTGAAGCAGAGACTGAAGCAGAGACTGAGCAGAGACTGAAGCAGAGACTGAGCAGAGACTGAGCAGAGACTGAAGCAGAGATGAGCTGAATGGCAGAGACTGAGCAGAGACTGAAGCAGAGACTGAGCAGAGACTGAAGCAGAGACTGAAGCAGAGACTGAAGCAGAGACTGAGAGCGAGCAGAGACTGAAGCAGAGACTGAGCAGAGACTGAGCAGAGACTGAGGCAGAGACTGAGGCAGAGACTGAGCAGAGACTGAAGCAGAGACTGAAGCAGAGACTGAAGCAGAGACTGAGGCAGAGACTGAAGCAGAGACTGAAGCAGAGACTGAAGCAGAGACTGAATTAGAGACTGAAGCAGAGACTGAAGCAGAGACTGAAGCAGAGACTGAGGCAGAGACTGAGGCAGAGACTGAAGCAGAGACTGAAGCAGAGACTGAAGCAGAGACTGAGGCAGAGACTGAAGCAGAGACTGAGGCAGAGACTGAGGCAGAGACTGAAGCAGAGACTGAGGCAGAGACTGAGGCAGAGACTGAGGCAGAGACTGAAGCAGAGACTGAAGCAGAGACTGAAGCAGAGACTGAGGCAGAGACTGAAGCAGAGACTGAAGCAGAGACTGAAGCAGAGACTGAAGCAGAGACTGAATTAGAGACTGAAGCAGTGACTGAAGCAGAGACTGAGGCAGAGACTGAGGCAGAGACTGAGGCAGAGACTGAGGCAGAGACTGAAGCAGAGACTGAAGCAGAGACTGAATTAGAGACTGAAGCAGAGACTGAAGCAGAGACTGAAGCAGATACTGAGGCAGAGACTGAATTAGAGACTGAAGCAGAGACTGAGGCAGAGACTGAAGCAGAGACTGAGGCAGAGACTGAGGCAGAGACTGAGGCAGAGACTGAAGCAGAGACTGAAGGCAGAGACTAAGCAGAGACTGAAGCAGAGACTGAGGCAGAGACTGAGCAGAGACTGAGCAGAGACTGAGCAGAGACTGAAGCAGAGACTGAGCAGAGACTGAGCAGAGACTGAGCAGAGACTGAAGCGAGATGAGCAGAGACTGAGCAGAGACTGAAGCAGAGACTGAGCAGAGACTGAAGCAGAGACTGAGCAGAGACTGAGCAGAGACGAGCAGAGACTGAAGCAGACTGACTGAAGCAGAGACGAGAAGCAGAGACTGAGCAGAGACTGAAGCAGAGACTGAAGCAGAGACTGAGCAGAGACTGAGCAGAGACTGAGCAGAGACTGAGCAGAGACTGAGCAGAGACTGAGCAGAGACTGAAGCAGAGACTGAAGCAGAGACTGAGCAGAGACTGAGCAGAGACTGAGCAGAGACTGAGCAAGAGAGCGGATGAGCAGAGACTGCGAGACTGAGCAGACTGAGCAGAGACAGAGACTGAAGCAGAGACTGAGGCAGAGACTGAAGCAGAGACTGAGGCAGAGACTGAAACAGAGACTGAAGCAGAGACTGAGGCAGAGACTGAGGCCGAGACTGAAGCAGAGACTGAAGCAGAGACTGAGGCAGAGACTGAGGCAGAGACTGAGGCAGAGACTGAAGCAGAGACTGAAGCAGAGACTGAGGCAGAGACTGAGGCAGAGACTGAAGCAGAGACTGAAGCAGAGACTGAGGCAGAGACTGAGGCAGAGACTGAAGCAGAGACTTAAGCAGAGACTGAGGCAGAGGCTGAGGCAGAGACTGAGGCAGAGACTTAAGCAGAGACTGAAGCAGAGACTGAGGCAGAGACTGAGGCCGAGACTGAAGCAGAGACTGAGGCAGAGACTGAGGCAGAGACTGAAGCAGAGACTGAGGCAGAGACTTAAGCAGAGACTGAGGCCGAGACTGAAGCAGAGACTGAGGCAGAGACTGAAGCAGAGACTGAGGCAGAGACTGAAGCAGAGACTGAAGCAGAGACTGAAGCAGAGACTGAGGCAGAGACTGAAGCAGAGACTGAGGCAGAGACTGAGCAGAGACTGAGGCAGAGACTGAAGCAGAGACTGAGGCAGAGACTGAAGCAGAGACTGAAGCAGAGACTGAAGCAGAGACTGAAGCAGAGACTGAGGCAGAGACTGAAGCAGAGACTGAAGCAGAGACTGAAGCAGAGACTGAGCAGAGACTGAAGCAGAGACTGAGGCAGAGACTGAAGCAGAGACTGAAGCAGAGACT